CCCAGGATTCCTGAACACTGGTTATAGTGGCTGCAGCTTCTGGAAGTTGAAGTCCAAAATACCTGGAGAACCAAAGTTTGGGAATCTAGTGGTGTAATGGAGCCAGATCACACAGGGTTGAAGATCTGGGATTTTTTTGAATTATCAAGGTCATCATCATCTACACCAGTGGTTCCCAAACTTTGGTTCACCCAGTAATTTTGGACTTCAGCTCCCAGAAGCCCTAGCCAGCTTGTCCAATTGTTAGGAATCCTGGAATCTGAAGTCCCAAACACTTGGAGGACCATAGTTTGGGAACCGCTGATCTACACCTTGGCTCAGACATCAGCCAAAACGGAGACTGTAGCGAAGAAATCAGAAGATTGGAGAAAGATTGGATGAATACAGGAAGCCAGAGCTAAGACTTGATGAGAGCTGTTGATGATCTGGGCTTTGGGAGATCTCTTATTCATAGGATCTCCACAAATCAAGACCAATTTGATGACAAGTAACAAATAATGTCATCTGTCACCCACATCCCACCCCATGGACTCCAAGTTTCACCGCAATCCTCACAATACCTGGAGAGAAAATGCATTTTCTTAGCGATGATAAGCAAAAATAATTTTCCCGAGCTACTGCTGTTGCTGTCGCCCAAAGTATTTGGAGACGACTTTACAAAAGACATAACTATGGTACAAATCAAAATGGCTAGAAATTATTTTAGGTCAACTTTTGGAACCTCTGTGAGGATGCTCTTCTAGGCACTAACCTGGCAAGGACTCGATCTTCAGATTTTACCACTGTTCACACATGCGACTAACAACAACAGCACAAGTATAAATAAGCTGTTTGGTAACATAGGACGTTTCCTTAGAACAGACCTCAGCAACATCAGGATTGGGATCCATTATGACTTTCACTTTCTCCAGATCCAATCTGCTTTTAATCTGCTCCTACACCCACCACAGAAATATTTAGAAAGATCTAACACCTTATCTGTCTGCCTATTTTTAAAAACCATTACTACCCGTAACTTTTACCTCTATCATCGAGAAATCTCCTTCTCTCTGCCAAAAATTTCCCTTTCCTCCCATGCTTGGAAAATTTCCCCTCAGCAAAGTCTTACACAATGACCCATCTCCCTCACACACTTCAAATCTTTCCTCAAAACACTTATTTTTCTTTTTAAGTATAGTATTTCCTTCTCCCTCAGCCCTCATCTCCAGTAGAAACAAAGTTTTATTATGGCTTAAGCTATATACAGTATTTATATGCAAGGGATGTATAACTATTCCCCCCATCAGCATTTTTTTTTTGACAGAAATATCCCTCCCTTGTTGTCATTTTCTGAAATATTTTGAATGGGAAAACACTGAGCAGTGGAAAAGTTATTTTCAGGCTTCAGATCCCAGAATCCTCAGCCAGCATGGCCAGTGGACTGTGGAAGTTACAATTCCCCAAATGTAATTTTCATGTTCTTGAAATAAGATGGGAATAAACAGTCTCTGACTCAGTATTGCTGCTCTGAGCAGACTGGCTGCATCCACACTGTAGAAATAATCCAGTTTGACATCACTTTAACAGCCATGGCTCAGTTTTGTGAGACATTTAGCCTTCTCTGTTAGAGAGCTCTGGTGCCACAGCAAACTACAATTCCCAAGATTCAATAGCACTGAGCCATGACAATTAAAGTGGTGTCAAACTAGATTATTTCTGCAGTGTGGATGCAGCCATGGAGAACCATTGGAATAGGTGGTACATCCATAGCACCATCTAGAAATCACAGACTTTACACATATCATCACCTTTCTCTTATTATATAGTCCAGAAACCTTGATTCAACATAATGGCTGCATCCCCTTGCAGAAATAATGCAGAAATAATCTAGTCTGACACCACTTTCACTGCTATGGAATTCTGGGAACTGTAGTCTGTTGTGGTACGAGAGCTCTCTGGTAGAGAAAGCACAACGTCTCACAAAGCTACAATCCCCAGAATTCCATAGCACTGAGCCATGGCAGTTAAAGTGGTGTCAAACTGGCTCATTTCTGCAGTGCGGATGCAACAAATGAATGTTGGATCAAGGATTCTGAAGTTCTGCAAAACAGAATTTCCATTTCCAAGTAAAAATGGCCATCGAAAGAGTTGGGAAAACATCACTTTTGAAACTATTTGATGCTGAGTAGAAAAGAGGTATGGGCTGTGGGGCTGTCCGAGGTATCTTGCATTAAAGGATTGTTTGTTGAGTATGCAGCCTATAATATATTTGGCCTGGGGTCTAGCCAGCTTTTAAGTATGGCCGGTCCAAAAGGCACGATCACAAGAAGTACTTCTGTTTACGGCAGTGATGACGCATTAATTGATTAATTGGCTCTCTGTTTTATACTGACCTTCCTCAATCTCTTGCAGGACAATCCAGAAGTTTACTGCAATGGGGAAAGAGACTCAGGAATTCTGGGTGATATCATGCATGATCCTTCTCCATGATCTGGGTCAGGGGTAGGCAACCTTTTTGAGCCGGGGGCCGGGTTGCCGTCCCTCAGACAATTGGGTGTGTGTGTGTGTGTGTGTGAAGCACCACAAATAAATAAATAAATAATAAAAATATATTTTTAAAAAAATTAAAAATTAAAAAAATATGCATGCACACTCTCTCAGCCTCAGAAAAGCCATGGCAAAACCCCAAGAACAAGTAATAACAACAATAATCAATATCATCATGGCAGGCAGCAGCGGCAGTGGGGGGTGGCGGCGGTCCAAAGGCCTTGCGGGGCCGCATCCGGCCCCCGGGCCTTAGGTTGCCTACCCCTGATCTGCGTGATATCATGCGTGATCCTTGTCATGGAGAAATGTGGATTGAACTCCTCCTTCCTGTAACTCCAACCTAGAGGATCTTTGGCAGATTTCTCTCCAAGCAAAAGTGAGTCCACCTTTCAATCAATTTCCTTACAAAGATGAACTCTGCCAGTTAGATCTGCACTTGAGCCCATATTTATTATTCCAATTAACGTCCTTCCTTCCCATCCCTCAGACTGCATCCTCACTGCAGAAATAATCAGAAAGAAAGAATTTGGGAACTAAGGGCCTTTTCAGACTGCCAGAAATAATGCAACTTGAGTCCACTTTAACTGCCCTGGCTCAGTGCTAGGAAATCATGAGAATTGTAGTTTTTTTCTGAGACATTGAACTTGCAAGACCTGAGCAAGAGAAGAGCTCTGGGGGCCCAAATCACAATCCCCAGGATCCCAGAGCAGTTCAAATTGGGGTCAACCCGGATTAGTTCTAAAACTGCATCCACCCTATAGAAATAATCCAGTTTGACACTACTTTAGCTGCCATAGCTCAATGCTATGGAATTCTGGGAACTATAGTTTGTTGTGGCACCAGAACTCTCTGACAGAGAAAGCCAAATGTCTCATAAAACTATAATTCCCAGATTTCTATAGCATTGATCCATGGTATCAATCTGGATTGTTTCTGCAATGTGGATGCAGCCTTAGTTCCCAAGTTCACCAAGTATGCCTGATTTTAACACCGTGGTTAAGAACATTCATAACAATTTAGGTACTCCTTATTGGAAGGGTAGGGGAAACACGAGGCTCTCCAGATGTTGTTGAACTATTATTGCTATTTGCTCCAGCCAGCATAGCAAATAATCAGGAATGATGGGAAGTGGTCTCCCAACATGTGGACTTCTTGTTGTGCGCCTTCAAGTTGTTTCCAACTTATGGCAAACCTATCACAGGCTTGTTTGGCAAATTTCTTCTGTGGATTTGCCATTGCCATACTCTGAGGCTGAGAGAGTGTGACTTATCAAAGGTCACCCAGTGGGTTTCCATGGCTGAGCAGGGATTCAAACCCTGGTCTCCAGAGTCATAGTCGAATGCTCAAACCATTATGCCATGCTGGTTCTTACATGTTGACTGCAACCCCCCGTTTGTTCTAGCCTGAGCAGCCAGTGTTCAGGAACAATGGGAAGTACAGTCCAACAACATTTGGACTGCAACCTTCATTCACTCTAGCCAGCACAGCCAATAATCGAGGGTGATGGGAAGTGAAGTCCAATAACATTTGGAATGCATTCCTCATTGTCGCTAGCCAGAATCTGGGATGATCTGGTATGTGAAGTCCAATAATAGATGTATTAGATATAATAACATCTAATAAATGTATGGCATACATACATTTAGATGGAGCAATGAGGAAAGACTACAATCTTAAGACTGCAATCTCCATTGACCCTAGCCAGCATAATAATGAACAGGAATAATGGTCCAGAATAGGGTTTAAATCCCCATTTGGCCATGGAAACCCACTGGATGACTCTGAGCAAGTCACACTCTCTCAGCCTCAGAGGAAGGCAAAGGCACACCTGCTCTAAACAAATCTTGCCCACAAAATCCAGCAATAGGTTCATCTTAGGGTCGCTGTAAATCAGAAATGACTTGAAGGCACCCAGCACTAGCACAACAAGCACAATGATCACTTCCAAACCTATCATTCTATGAACCAATGATTAGGGATGATGGGAGATGCAGTCTATCAGGAGGTCTCCCCCCCCACTCCACTTCTGCCTGATCCATTTTAATGGTACTGGTCCTATCCACAACCAGAACCACAAAGGCTGGCATCCTACTGGTTAGTGTCTGTCAGAATAAACCCATACAATAGGAAATCAACATGTAATTCAGTTTCATGGATTCAGTGGGTCTCCTCTAAATCAGGATTAAAATGGGATTTAGGCCAAAAAGTGCTTCTCGGTTCTTTGAGTACAAGGTGAAATAGCAAATCTAATCTGCAATCATGTGTGGAGAGATAGGAAACCAAGAAAGTTCTGTCTGCATGCACCTGTAGGCTAAAATCTCAATTGTGTGTTTGCACACCAGTCCATGGTTTTGTGTATCTTTTGCTTGCATGCAACAGGGAAATCTATCCCTATTGACATTTTATGGGGTTCATTCTCTGATCGTATCAAGGATGATACATAGATAGGGAATTGATATATTTATCCCCCAAAGAGCCAGCGTGGCGTAGTGGTTTGAGCACTGGACTAGGACTCTGGAGAACAGGGTTCAATTCCCAGCTTGGCTATAGAAACCCACTAGGTGAGCATGGGCATGTCACACTCTCTCAGCCTCAGACAATGGCCACGGCAAACCTCCTCTGAACAAATCTTGCCAAGAAAACCCCATGATAGGGTTACTTTACGGCCGCCACAAGTCAGAAATGACTTGAAGGCACACAACAACAACAACAACAAAGACGACTCCTGGGACAGGACATGAGGGTCAGAACCACAGAGGAGAGGGAAATCGTTGTTTGTTGTTGTGTGCCTTCTAGTCATTTTTGACTTATGGAGAGCCTTGTTGCTGTGTGCCTTCAAGTTTTTTCCAACCTATGGCAACCCTAAGGCACCCTATCATGGTTGGGTTTTTTTTGGCAAGATTTGTTCAAAGGGGGTTTGCCATTACCATCCTCTGAGGCCGAGAGAGTGTGACTCACCCAAGGTCACCCCGTGGGTTTCATGGGAATCAAACCCTGGTCTCCAGAGTCATGGTCCAACGCTCAAACCACGCCACTGCTGGCTAGGCGAACCTATCATAGGGTTTGCTTGGCAACCTTTTTTCAGAGAGGATTTGCTGTTGCTGTCCTCTGAGGCTGAGAGAGTGTGACTCACCCAAGGTCATCCAATGGGTTTTCACAGCTGAGCAAGGATTTGAACCCTGGTCTCCAGAGTTGTAGTCCAAAACTCAAACCAAGCCAGAGGGGAGTCTAGGAACAAAATAAACTGAAGTTTCCTTTTTAAAGGCAGAAATGCCCTCCCTGCCTGGGAGCTGCTTGCCTTCACTCCAGGCAAAAAGAACTCTGCACATGCTCCAAAGAAGCTAAACTTCCTTCTTCTTTGATGATGTGACCCAATTCAGGGCTTGGGGGAGACAGATGAGGCCTACCTAGGTTGCATCCGCACTGCCACAAATAATCCGGTTTATTTATTTATTATTTATTTCATTTGTAAGCCGCCTTTTTCCCTGTAGGGACTCAAGGCGGACGACAGATAAAAGCGTTTTAAAATCTTAGTAAAATTCAAAACGATTTAAAAGCATCTACACACAATATAAAACCACATAAAACCACATAAAACCACATAAAAGTTAAAAGAGTAATGAAAACTCCTGAAAAGCGAAAAACCAATTACAGATGCCTAGAATACCACAGCCTTGAGCCAGGGCAGTTCAAGCGGTGTCAAACCGGATTTATTCCTGCAGTGCAGATGCAGCACTAAAGACTTGCCCCACTTACAGAAAGAAAGCCCTTTTGACACCCCTTGAACCCTCCAGAGTTTCCTGGGATTTGTAGTTTGGGGAGGCATCCCACCTGTTCTGTCAAGACACTCTGGTCCAAAACAGGCTGGAGAAATAACCCAGTTTGAGACCGCTTTAACTGCCCTGGCTCAGTGTTAGGGAATCCTGGGAATTGTAGTTCATTGTGGCACTAGAGCTCTCTGACAGAGAAGGCTAAAATGTCTCACAGAACTACAGTTTAATCTCAGACTTCCCTAGCACTGAGACAAGGCAGTTAAATCGGTCTCAAACTGGATTATAGTCTCACAAAACTAGTTTAATCTCAGATTTGCCTAGCATTGAGCCAAAGCAGATAAAGCGGTCTCAAACTGGATCATTTCTGCAGTATGTTCTGGACCGCTTACAGGATCCTGTCGGTTAAAGCGGGATCGAACTGATCCATCCTTCCAGTGTGGATGAACCTGGCAAGAAAAAGGTACTCACCAGCCCCCAAATCCACCAGGTGGAGAAGAGGAGGAGAGGGAAGTTGGGCATCTCTCTCTTTCTCTCTTTACTCCAAAGGATGCCGAGGTCTGATCAAGTCCCGGAGGCTGGGAGAGGCTCTGAGTTCGAAACGCTCCCTAAATGGCCGAGATCCTGCAGCAGGGACATAAGGGCACCGTGCGGACGCGGCCCGGGTCGAAAGCGCTTCAGCGCCGCGCGGACAGGCGAGAGGCTGAGAGTTCTATCCCGGTGCAGCCTCTGTTCTCCAGCCTCTGCAAAGCCAGCCTGGCCACCCAAGCGACTGTAGTCCTCCTCCTCCTCCTCCAGCCTTTC